GATGCATCTATCAACAAGTGAATCTAAGAATCAAGTGAATAAATAATCTGGTGATCATAATAGAATCAAAGACATAGAAAGGGAATGGACTGACTATTCTTGCGGGGGAAAGGGGTGTGGGAGGTGCGGAAAGAGACTGGACAAAAATCGTGCACCTATGGATGAGGACAGTGGGTGGGGAGTGAGGGCGGAGGGTGGGGTGGGAATTGGGAGGAGGGGAGTTATGGGGAAAATAAAGAGGAACAAATGTAATAACCTGAACAATAAAGATTTAATAAAAACTAAAAATTTAAAAATAAATAAAAAACACTTCAAAGATCTTCTAAATATATGTACAAGAGCATAAAGCTTTTCTAAAAGTATATATTGTAAATAAAAAATGATGTCTTTTATTCTCACAAAAACAGACTTCGATTTCTCTAGTGAAGTTTTATATTCATCTGAATTTAGACAAATCCATCTATTAGATGAAGAAAAATACCACTTCACTGTGTCTACATTCACATATTATTTTAAAAACTGAACAGTAAATTAAAACAAAAGTAGAAGTTGTAAGTCTGAGTAAGCTTCTTTTTTTTTTTTTTTACCATGCAAGTATGTCTTATAGAAAGTTTCAAATGTTGGAAAAGGACATTAATAAACCTAGTTTGTATGTTATCTGTCAAAACCAATAAACAAATCACATTTTAAAAGATTCTCTAGTCAGACTGATGTGGCTCAGTGGTTGAGTATCAACCTATGAACCAACAGGTCACATGCCCGGGTTGCTGGCTCGATCCCTAGGGCGGGACATTAGGTGGCAGCCAGTTGATGTTTTTTTCTCATTAATGTTTCTATCCTTTTCCATTTCTCTCGCCCTCAAATCAATAAAAACGTATTTAAAAATAAGAGATTCTCTGTATAAACTTTTAAAAAACTACTATGGTATCACTATGAGTACCTGGGCAGGAGTACCATTTCTATATTATAGCTCATTATAAAGAAAAAGGTCATATCAAATGTACTTCTGAAGGTAGAAATGACAAAAAAATTAAAATATTTTCCTAAGGAAGTCTAAAATGAAAAAAGGTTGTGATCAAAGTAGTAAGATAAAGTTACCTTTAAATGTCAGATGAAAAAATTTTTCTTTTCATTACAATAAAATGACCAAGACTTCCCATTTTTAGTTTTAACTTTAAAAAATACATAAAAAGTTGCTTACTTCGTGTAAGTAGTTAATTCCACTTAAGACATATTTAAAGGAGCTGAGAAAACATATTTTAAAGAGCTTTTTATCATGGCTGGTTATAATATAACTGCTGGTTGTATTAAGTGGAATATAGAAGTATCTGTATGAATATGATATTTTCTGTTTCAAGAATTAGAAAAACAAGCCCATCATTCACTTTTCCATTCAAACAAATTGATCCAGAATGACATTCAATATATTCTTTGACAAGAAAACTGACAATTCTGCCTTTAATTACCTAATTAAGTAAATACCAAATTTGAAAAGTGACATTTTCTATTTTTTTATTAGGGTCACATGATTCTTTAGTATTGAGCAGACTTGAGGCAAGGTCAACAAAGGTATCCCAGCAAGCTTGCTGGCTTTCTTTAAAAAAAGAACAAGGAGGCAGAAACAAATATAGAAATGGAAATAACATTGTAAAAGCAAAGAGAGCATTTAGCAACATTTAAAAATTCAGTATATTGTATTTTCAAAGCCACTTCAAACAAAGATAAATACTAATATTT